ACTATCCAGTTGAAAAGAAAAATAAAATCATGTGTAACAGGAAGGCCGCTCATTTGCTCCTGGCCACTTAGCCCCAAAATAACAACACAGAAACTATATTAATTAAAACACTGTTTGGTTCATTAGCTCTAATGTCTTATTGGCTAACTCTTACATCTTAGTTTAACCCATTTTTATTAATCTGTATATCAACACATGACAGTGGCTTACCGGCAAAGATTTAGCATGTCTTACTCTAATGATGGCTCTGTAGTGGCTCTCCCTGACTCTGCTTTTTTTTCTCCCAGAATTTAGCTTTGTCTTCCCTGACTACCTAAGTTCTGCCCTATCAACAGACCAAGGGAGGGTTTTTTGTTTTGTTTTATTTTGTTTTGTTGTTGTTTTGTTTTGTTTTGTTTTGATTTGATTTTCGAGACAGGGTTTCTCTGTAGATTTTTTTGGTTCCTGTCCTGGAACTAGCTCTTGTAGACCAGGCTGGCCTCGAACTCACAGAGATCCACCTGCCTCTGCCTCCCAAGTGCTGGGATTAAAGGCGTGCGCCACCACCACCCAGCCCAAGGCAGTTTTTTAATTCATTAAGATAACTACAGAACATAGAGGGGACTCCCACATCATTTCCCCCTGCAGAAAGCAGATTAGTCTTCCCCCAGAGAAGAGCACACTAATTGGCTATATCCAATACCTAATGATCAGCCCTGAAAATATACATATAAGTAATATTACATGGCCTCAGCAGGTTATATTTATGTATTTAATAATATATATGCATATACATGTATGAAATGACAATCTATTGAAAAAGAGGCCATGAATTTAAAAGAGAGCAAGGAGTGATAAATGGTAGGGCTTAGAGGAAGGAAAGGGAAGGGGAAATGATATAATTACATTATAATATCAAAAAATAATAATTATAAATAAATAAATCTCCTTGGCTCTCAAACAAAAATCTACATTGGCATTTAACCTCCCAGGTGATACAGGAAGAAATGAGTGGGTTCCCCACAAGGACAAGCCTGATGCTCACTAAAAACAGGCTTCAGGGAAAAGCTCCCCACCCTTCCATCTGCGATGTGAAAAAACTCAAACAGTGTGAAATATGAGGAACAAGCCTTCATCCACTGCCAAACCTGCCAGCACACCTTGATACAGCATTTCCAAACCTCCAGAAACGTGATTACCCAATTGCTGTTTTCATACTTTACCTAGTACAAGGTGTTCATTATGGCATCACAAATGGATTAAGATAAACATAAAACGTACTTCTTAATTAGTGTTAAATTTTGTATTTGACCTCAACTGTATGATTATATAGGAAAATTATTCTTATCCGCAGGATCTGTGTGCTAATGATTTTAGTTATGGTGTTTTTGTTTTGTTTGTTTTTTGAGACAAGTTTTCTCTGTGTAGCCCTTGCTGTCCTTGAACTCACTCTATAGACCAGACCAGGCTAGCTTTGAAGTCAGAGATCCACCTGCCTCTGTCCCAAGTGTCAGGATCAACGACATGCACCACAATGCCTGACTTTAGTTATGATGTCCTAATATACTTTCAAACTACATAAATACGTAAAGAATGAAAACGCACCAATGTTAGAGGGAATCTAAATGACAAGCAATAGACCCACATTCATTGTCCTGCATCTTCAGTTTTTCTGTAGCAAGACGCACTGTCAAAATGAAACACTAAAGCAGAAGACAGAATGAGAAGAACCCAGTGTTACTGAGGCATGGGGAAGAAGACCAGACCAGCCTTCAAATTCCTGAGAGTCAGCTGGTCAGGTCACACAGTTGCTTTAGGGTCAAGGAGAGGTTTGGGTAACCTCAAACGGTACAAGTCAGCACTTAAGTCCCCATATTCTGCCCTAATCTCTCAACCTTACAACTCAAATATAAAAAGGCCAGAGAGATGGCTGCTCTTACAAAGGACCTGAGTTTTGTCCCCAGCACCAATGCTGTTACTCCAGTTGCAGGAATCCAATGCCCTCTCCTGAAGGCCATGGGCACCTGTGCTCACACACAAACACACGAACACACACAGGCACACAAGCACATAAAAACTCATATGCATGCACACACAGTTTCTTTTTTCTTTTCACCTTAAAAATAAATTTTAAGAAAATAACCACACGAAAATAGAAAAACTTATAGGCCAACAGGACAAAAAGTAAGATTCAAGGCATCTAATCAAATGTCTCTTACACAGGGACAAACAACAAACATTAACTCTTTATTGTACAAAACACCTAAAAGCCCTTTCCAAGGGGCAGAGTTAAGAGCACTCTTCCTTCCAGAGGACCGCGGGGACTCACAACCATCTGCAACTCCAGTTCCAGAAGATCTGACACCCTCTCCTAACCTCTGTGGGCAGCAGGCATGCATACAGTGCACATGCCTACATGAATGCAGGCAAAACATGTACACACATAAAATAAATTTTTTTTAAAAAAATTAATCCTTCAGAAAGGAAACAAAGGAAGATATGGCTAGTAATAAATTCATAAGAAATAAACACAAAGTCTATTTATTTTAATAACTACTAAAGCTCAGTTTTCACCTCAGGTATCAGTATAAAAATGCTTTGATGAGAGAACCCATGTTCAACACTCTTGCACCCACATGACATCCCACAACTATCTGTAACTCCGGTTCCAGAGAATCCAATGTTCCCTTCCAACCTCTCCAGGTACTTCACACAGATATACACAAGCCAAACACCCATACACAAGAAATTTTTAAAAAAAAATAAATAAATGAAATCTTCCATGAATCTACACAAGTTAGATACATTCAAGTAAGCTTAATATTGTGTGTGTGTGTGTGTGTGTGTGTTAACACAAGAATGGAAAATCTTCAAACTAAAATACTAACCAGAACATAGGGGAACATCCTAGGAAGATTTCCTACTGGTGAAAAGAAAGACCTCTTTTTTAAGAGAGAGCAAAGTAAAGCCACTTACGATATAAAAGTAAAGACCAGTTACTTTCGCTTCCATAAATTCCGGGAAGTCATGTGCTAGTGAACCCATAATTAGATGTCATATGGGGCTCTAGAGGCCCACTGAGAAGTTGGAGGCTCACTCTCAGATGATCACAGTGGGTGAGGGTGGGCTAGCTCAGGCAAAGAGACAGCTGATTTTCCTAAGGTAAGGAGCCATCTGAAGAGCCTGCTAGTGACATGGGGAAATGAGATGTGAGGTGCTTTCTTTTTTTCTCTCTCTTTTCTTTCCTCCTGTCAAGGCTCACAGGACTTTGAGTTTCTTGGGTGTAAAAGGGAAGAAAATAAAATTCAAACATGAACAGTTTTTTTTGTTTGTTTGAATTTAAATACCACTTAAATGACTGGTATGACTAAGCAGAACACAGAAAAAAATTACCATTGGATTAGGTATTATACAAAAATGAACTTAACAGAAAATAACAGATAGACATGCTAGATAAAACACAGGTTCTCACTATGTAGCCCTGTCTGGCCTGAAAATTGCTATAGACCAAGCAGACCTCAAGCTCAGAACGATCCACCTGCCTCTGTCTCCTGAGTGCTTAGATGTGCACCACCATAACCAGCATATTTGTAATACATACTAGTTAATGCTTTGTTAAAGCTTTTCCCCAACAATGATTATTATATACCTTTTAATTAATTATTAATTTAATTTCAAATCACTTCAGTGATGTGGGATGTCCTTATATGTGTTGCTTTTATTGGGTGATGAATAAAGCTGTTTTGGCCAATGGATTAGCAGAATAAAGCCAGGCAGGAAATCTGAACAGAGATATACAGAGTAGGCAGAGAGATTCAAGGAGACTTCATGTAGCTACTGAAGAAGAAAGAACACTACTCGTAAGTCACAGCCTCATGACAAACACATTAGTAGAAATGGGTTAATTTAAGATATAAGAGCTAGCTAAGAATATGCCTGAGCCTTTGGCTCAGTGTTGTAATTAATATAGTTTTGTGTGATTATTCACATCTGGGTGGCCAGGAAATGAAAGCACAGTCTCAGTTTACACTTCAGAGTCTTTCTAGAAATACAGAAAACAAAATCAAGAATGAGATTTTCAGTAGGAAAAGCATGTTGACCCTTGGGATATCAGTATGGCGATTTCTCAGAAAATTAGCAAATAACCTTCCTCAAGACCCAGCAATACTACTTTTGAGTATATATCCAAAGAATGCTCAATCGTGCCACAAGGATATGTGCTCAACTATGTTCATAGATAGCAGCATTGTTCATCATAGCCAGAACCTGGAAACAACCTAAATGCCCCTCAACTGAAGAATGGATAAGGAAACTGTGGTACATTTACACAATGGAGCACTACACAAAAGTAGTACGACAGCTTGAATTTTGCAGGCAAATGGATGGAGCTAGAAAACATCATATTGAGCCAGGTAACCCAAGACCCAGAAGGACAATTATCACATGTACTCACTCATAAGTGGTTTTTAAACATAAAGCAAAGAAAACCAGCCTACAAATCACAATCCCAGAGAACCTAGACAACAATGAGGACCCTAAAAGAGACATACATGGATCTAATCTACATGGGAAGGAGAAAAAGACAAGATTTCCTGAGTAAATTGGGAGCATGGGGACCATGGTAGAGGGTTAAAGAGGAGGGGAGAGGTAGAGAGGGGAGCAAAGAAAAAATATATAGCTCAATAAAATCAATATAAAAGAAAAGCATGCTGAGTTTGGTATCAGGCATTTGAAAATATAGGACTGATAGGCGCACAGGCTGAAAAAGCAATATGGGTATTGAGATTCTACCAATCAAAAGTATTAGTTGAAAAAACTAATCTGATCACAAGGGCCACATGCAAAATGTATTAAATGACAAGCAAAAATAAATTACACACAAAATGGTAGTAGCCTTCTGAAGTATAATAATCTAATATAAAAAGCACTAAAATGTTAACACAAAACTATTACAAACAGGTTCAGAGGCCAAACCAAAAGTTTTTAGCAATTTACTGAGAACAACAGTAAAGTAATCCTACCTTACTACTACCATTGATGGCCATGTCTTAGCTAAAGGAGCAGGTCCATGGTGAGGAATTACACATTAAGGATGAAGAAGACACTTGAGAAAGTGTGCAGTGAAGTTTCACAGGAGTGACCATAGGTCTAGCCAAAAGAACTGGGCTGTAAGAAGAAAGGTAAGGAGTCAGAAGTACTCATCACAGAGGAGAGAGATAAATATGTACATGTGAAATGCAGTGAGGTTCTTATTAGAATCTAATGGCCACTTTTTCCCCTTCACCACCTAAGACAACCACATGGACCTAACTTGCCTGCCCACCGCTTTCTCCCTTTTCTCTCCTTCCACAGTTGCCCAGATGCTTACCCCTTTCTTTGACACGCAACCCACCTAGTCCCAGCTCTGAAGAGCCTGTTTTTGGTTTTCTCCATTTTCAAAGCATAAAACTAACTTCAAGCTGGAAGCACAGCAGAAACAGTGAGGTACTACCCTTATTTAAAAATGCTACATGTGGTGAGGTTAAATCTCAGGCAGCCCCACCCCTAGACAAAGAACTACATGTAAGTAACACCTACAGAGAAAGAGTCTTCCTTAGTTAGAGCTCCCTAATTTATTATCCAATACCAAGTGGTCAGCCCAGAAATCATGTACATACATGCAACAGTAAACAGACCCGACAGGTTGTGTTTGTGTTTATATATTTGTGCATGTGCACAAAGGTGCACACACACACACATGCACACTATTTGATCAAATTTGATCAAATATAACCAAAGAAAACAGGTCATGAATTTGAGAAGGAGTAAGGGGAGGCTAAGGAAAGGTTGGAGGGATGAAAGAGAAAGGGCAAAATGATATAACTATATTTTAACTACAAAAAACTGGAGTGAAAAGCCACAGTCAGAAGTAGTAATTAGGTATGCAAAAGATGACAAAGGGTTAATGAAAACTTTCCCAACAAAGACATATTTTCTGTCTCAAATGCTTTAGAACATATTCATTGATTTGGCAGGTTTTATCTCAATTCTTGGAAACTAAGAGGCCTCTTGGTTGTGGTCTTTCCTTTATCACTGATGTCCAGTTACAGTGATCCCTTTGAATTCACATGGATTAGTCCTGGGACCCCTGCAGATGCTCAGGTCCTTTATATAAAACAGCACAGAGCAGGGGAGTGGGTTCCACCCAAAGAAAACCCACACTAACATGCCAGCCTACTTAAGTTCGTACTGCCAGGACACATCAAGAGAGATAAAATGGGAGGCAGACAGCAGACTACAAACAAGTGTGAGAGTCAGCGAGCCTGGAGAACCCAACATAGTTTGGCAGAACAAGAGAGACCTTGCCTCAAACCAAACAATGCAAAAACCAACTCCTCAAAGTTGTCCTCTGACTTCCATATGCACCCCACCACATGTACACATGACAACAGTTTTAAGTAAAAATAAAACAGATGTGGCACAGTATTGCATAAAAACTGCCCACATCATCCTAAATACGTTAAGCCCTCTCTAGGTTACTAATACATATTACAGTATAAATGTTATGTATCAGTTGGTACACAATATACAGTATTTTGGAGGAATAAGTACAAGGAAAGAACAAATCTGTGCATTACAATACAAACACTTGTTTTTTTGTTTTTTTGTTTTTTTTGGTTTTTTGAGACAGGGTTTCTCTGTGGCTTTGGAGCCTGTCCTGGAACTAGCTCTGTAGACCAGGTTGGTCTCGAACTCGCAGAGATTCGCCTGCCTCTGCCTCCCGAGTGCTGGGATTAAAGGCGTGTGCCACCATCGCCCGGCTACAAACACGTTTTTAATATGACATCTTTGAGCAATAACAGCCTGAATCCACACAAACATCTGTACGAATAGAAGGACTGTATTACGTGCTCTACAACCTTGTAACTTTTTTCTCTTCTGCCTCATAGAAACCTTCTGTTTCTAACTCTGGATTATAATCTTCTGTCCTCTCCTCTCCTCATCCCCACCCCACGTGTGTGTGTGCACGGGCGTGCGTGTGTGTGTGTGACAAGTGTGGAAGCCAGAGGATAACTGGCTAACTTTGCAGAGTTGGCTCTCTCCTTCCACCTCCATGTGGGTCCTAGAGGTCATCAGGGGAGCACAGCAAACGCTTTTCACCCACTGAGCCATCTCTCTGGCCCATCTTATTTTTATTTATTTATTTACTGCCATTCCCCTTGACTTTAATAAGACCCAATGGCATTTCACACATGTCACCAGAAACATCTGCCTTCCTTCCAGTCACGAAACTGACATCAGTCACATTCTCCAAGTCTTCCACTCTCCCAGTGATCTCCACATCTCCAAATATACCTTCACTGCCTCCAAACATTTTATTTCTTCTAGATTTGGCATGGTTCTCAATGCTAACGTGACTGCAAATCTAACCTCCGTAGAATTTAAAATGTCATTAAATCCCTCTTCTTGCATTAAACTGTAAATGGGGGAAGGAATTTCTATCTTGTTAATGTCCTGCACACCACATCTGAGACACAGCAGCCGCCAAGCGAGTGTAACTGAATGAGCTCCATCATAAAGTGAATTACAGTTCTCTCTGATGAGTACACAGTGGCAGAAAGTAAGGCTTCTGAATGAGTTCCTGTAGGTGGAAAAATGTATAATTGAAAATATTTAAATAGGAATTTTAGTCATCACTTCTTTTATATTCTTTCAGAAAAGCACACAAGTTATACCATAGCAATATAGTATATATTATTAGGGCATAAGACAACTTGCAGAAGCAGGGGCTCTTCCAGCACATGGACTCCTGGGATTGAACTGGCAAGCACCTTTACCAGATTAGTCATTTCACTGGCTCTCATTTTTTATGTTTCTCTCCTTTTTTCTTTTAGATTTTATTTTTTTTAAATGTTTAAGTAAGGTCTCATTATGTAGCCATGGTTGACTGGAACACTCTATAGACCAGACTGGCCTCAAACTCTCTGAGATCTGCCTACCTCTGAGATCTGCCTGCCTCTGACTCCTGGGTGCTGAAACTGACGAGTGCCACCAAGCCCTGTGTACATTAGTTTATGTAAACCACATGTCTGTATGTATGCCACATATGGACAAGTACCCAAGGGGGCCAGAAGGGGCATTGGACGCCTGGAAGCATATGGAGTCACAAGCAGTTAGGAGTCACCTGACATTGGTGCTGGGAACTGAACTCAAATTCCCAGGAAAAGCAAGTGTTCCTAATCTCCAATATTCCCATTTTTAATATTTCTATGGAATCAAATGCAGCAAGTGTGTACGAATGTATGCACTGTATAAGTAATTAGTTCCTTTCCAAATATATCACCATATCAGAGTAATCCACTCAGTTTTTAATATTTAAATGTTTGACTCTCTTGCCAGTGCTGTAACTGGGTTATTTAGAATTTCACGTTTTCATCTTTTGCTGTGGTATGGTCATGCTCAACACACTACATGGAACAGAGAAAACTATTCAACTGATCCAGGCTCAATACTGAGCAGTCAAATGTTTCCTCGAGACAGCCAGTCAAAGCACCAATGTGGTTTCTCTTAATCTCTAGCTAAGTCTTCTCTATCATTTTTCAGTGGAGAAGCATTTTCATTAATATTGAAGTGGATTCATTTCAAAATGAATTACTGATGATGTGTTCAAGCAGGACTTTATTATACTATAGATTTGTGAAGAAATGGGGTTCTTTGTGTTGCTTCATATGCATTATCATGGTTACCAGAACCCAGCATGGATTCCCACAGCACAGCTGGACACGGATGAGTCCTCTGTGGCACCCCTTTATCTTCCCCACCAACTGATTTGTGTGATGCCACAGGTCCTCATCTCTCACACACTCAGACCAAATGGAATTCCCATTTCTCAAATGTGTTTTTCTTCACAGATGGGGATTAGGTGGAGCCAGAGCAGCACTTGGGGGAGGAATGTAGAAGAAGCAAAGGTACAATGATATCCACAAAAGGACAATGTTGAAAGTAGAGATGGTATCTCGCTAAGGAGAAAGAGCAGTTTAGAATATCTTTATTCCAGCCCTCTCTCCTGGAATGCAAATCCACTGACTATACATGCAGCCACCCTGCCCTATCATATGATCTGTCAAAAACGACAGGACGAGGAAACACTGCTGTGACATGCCTCTGGCTACTATTTTTGCTGCGATTAACTCTAGGTAGGGCTCTGATACAGGACTTGTTAGTATATGAATCTGAACTCTAACGGGCTTGTGCTGGTGAGATGGTTTAGGGGGTAAGAACAGCTGTTCTGCAAGCATGAGAACCTGAGTTTGAATCCCCATCCCCTGTGTAAAACAGCTAGGCAGGCTGGCCCACGTCTGTAGCTTTAGCACTGTGGGGCAGAGATGGGCAGAACCGCAAAGCTCACTGCCCGAACCAGCCTACACTAGACAGCTTCAGTTCAGCGGCAGACCCTGTCTCAAGGCAATAAGGCAGAGGGCGATACAGAAATACACCCCATGTCCTGCTGTGGTGTCCACATGTGTCTCACAGGTGTACACATAGGCACACCCACATGCATGTACCTCAGCGACACACCCAGAGACAGACCCACAACTATAGCAAACTAGCAGTGGATGGCAGGCCAAGATGAACAGCAAACTAGCATTCTCACTTCCTACGATGATACAGAAGACAAATAACTGTTTTAATTACAATTTCACTCAAATATGTGCTGACAACTATTAGCCATGTGACCAAAAACAGACCAAAAATCTTGCCTCCATGGAGATTATACTTTAAAAAGGAAAATCAAAAATAATTTTAAAAAAAAATTTTAAAACTAGCTGTGACAATCACTACAGAGAAGAAACTCAGTTATGAAGCTTGGGAGAGGTAGACTAATGGTAACATAACAGAGACCCGAAGAAGATAAAGATAGGAGTTATACCTACAGGAAGGAGTTATACCAAGACCTGGAGAAAAAGCACTGCAGGCCAAGGGGGAGAGAATACAGAGTCTCTGTTTAAGGTGCAGCAAGGAGGCCTGTGTGTGGAGAATGGTGGAGGGAATAAAAATGTTAGCAAAGGTCCTGCAGCGAAGTGACAAGGACCACAAACTGTGGCTCATCTGCAGAGCCTGTGCTGTCCCCTGAAGACTGCGGGAAGGGCCAGCTTCTCAAATGGATGAAAGGCTGCTCTGGAGAG